TAATTCGAAACATATGGCATTCGAACACACCTACAATTAGATGAGATATTCGTCACAAATTTCGACGGCTTCCAACATGAACGTCCACAGACTGATGACAGAAAGTATGTATGCACGCGGTTACATAGCTCCCGCGCTGGTATGGAGCAACGTCCGCACTACAATATATAAGTGGACCGACGCCCCGACCTCCGTGATTACCCCGACAAAGCAACGATAGCGAAAACGGATACATCACTCCAAAAACGGAATGCATTCAGGTGGATTGCTTGCCCGGATGGAGCCTATCCGAGTCAGAGCGACCCAAATATGCCAATCCAGCGCCCAGGGCAAAATCAATATTCAAGCACTGTCCATATTAACCAAAATATGTACAAGAAGCATCAGAGATAATGGTTCGTTGATAATCTCAGGATTTAACGTTGGCAGGTATGACGTGTCTGGCCAAAGAGATGTGCATGCTTCCCCCATGGAGGGCGGAGAAAGATGGTAACATGCCATCTGTTAGATACGAACCATATTTCCGTTTCATTGAGCCGCTCAAGGAGAGGTCCATTGCGTACAAACTCTGGGGGGCAGGCAATACCAAAGTATCACAATGGTGGCCTGTAGTCTGGAAACACCTGGACCCTTCGGAGGAACCGATGAAATTACCACCTCTGTGTGCGCTCATTTGGACACATGTGGAAGACAGCGTCACTGAGCTAAAAGAAGGATGGCAGTTGTGCGAAGACAAGCTCAATGCGGATATAACGGACCATCCAACGGCAACTTGGCTGGTGCATGATTACCCATCGGTCGGAAGAAGTAGGTAGAAACATGAAGTAGGAAGGCGTTGGAAATAGATTGGGGTGCCGCCCGCCTCCTGAAGAGGAGGGAAGAGGGAAACCCCCTCGACTCTTGAAGTAGGAAGGCGCTCAAAGTAGATTGGAATCTGGGAATCCAAAAATACCTACTTTCAACGACCGATGGGTACGCAGCCAAGGTGAAAGTTACAACATACGATCCTAATCTACACTTTCTCTTGGAACACCCAATCCTCAGCGCGAAGGCCCTGAAGCATTTACACGCAGCCCTTTTTTTTCCGAGAGCTGCGACATGGAGAGAGAGAGAGAGGCATGAACGACTGATGGACCTTGGCCCGAGCAAAAACCTCGATCACACGTACTCGGACAGACCCGAGATCCAACTTGAGGATAGTCCGTGCTCGTTCTTCTTGAGAACGTCGCCAAGCGCCGGAGGAATGTTTGACGAAGAATTGGGATTTTATATTTTAAAGACCCAGATGTCCACGGAGTTAATAGCTCGTTTCTTTGAGTGTAGAGGCCGTCGCACTTCTCTGGATAGTCAAGGCGTCCGGACATTTGCCAAAGAAGGTATCAACTTGGCGGACAAATCGGACGCGGCAACTTTGGTGGAAACGTCGGGAAGCGAGATAATGAACGCTGCAACTACATACGTGGGCCAATACATAATGACACCGGAGAAAAACCCCAATCAGATTTTTGTTGGGGCTATGGGGCTGTAGGGCTATAAAGCTATAAGGTTATGAAGCTATAGGGCTATAGGGCTATTGGGCTATTGGGCAATTGGGCTATAAGGCTATAGGGCTATAAGGCTGTGGAGCTATAGGGCTATAGGGTTATAAGGCTATGGGGCTATGGGGCTATAGGGCTATAGGGCTATTGGGCTATAGGGCTATAGGGCTTCAGGGCTATAGGGCTATGGGGCTATAAAACTATAGGGCTATAGGGCTATAGGGCTATTGGGCTATTGGGCTATATGCTATTGGGCTATTGAGCACCCCGGGCACCCGGGCACCCGGGCACCGGGGCCCGGCCACCGAAATCGGCCACGCACCTCATCGGCCACCCGGGCACCCGGGCACCGCCGGGCACCCGGGCACCTGGGCACCCGGGCCCGGCCACCGAAATCGGCGACCGACCTCACCTAAACCTTTAGTCCGCTAGGACCCCTACAGAGGCAAGCTCTGATTGGGGAATCATTGAACGCTCCTCACGGCCAGGTTAACCAAGCATACGCTGCAGCCAGAATCGCCAAACTTCTGGTCGGGTGGTTGAAACAAGAATGTCAAAGCTGAATTGTTAGATAACAGACCCATTCGTGTGATGATCACAATTCGTGAACATATAATGGAAGATGTCATTCAAGGACGACACGTTGTAATTCATCCGATATACAATCACTCCTGGACAGCCAAGAACGATGGAGAGCAAGCTATGTTGGAGACAGGGTTGACGATTGCCCACAACAAATCAAGAGAGACTCTTACGAACTCGACCAAAAGATAGGGAACACCATCAGGAGTTCCCACTTGTTGGAGACGGTCATCGCGGGATTGGGGCTCAGCCTCAAGACCAAGATACGCATGAACCCTTGGCCCATCCAGAATGCGATGACAGACTTCCCCAACCAGATCGAATGGAAAGAACCACTACAGCATAAAGGTGAAGGTATACGGATTGGCCTGATTGAAAAAAATGGACAACTGAAAATGACAATCGCTGTCGGCATTGTGCGTTTATGCGGCGACAATGGCATCCCTGATATCGGCCTAGCTGGAGATGGGATCCCTGCAGTTCGTCAGACACAGCGTACTGGGACGGAAGATATGGCAGTGAAATCGCCCAATCCGACCGTTGTCCCTAGTCCAAGGTCAAACCCAGGCGAGCCCATTGCGGAGCTTATTCCTGACTCAGTCGGACGGACTCTGGCAAGGGCCTCGACAGATGTAGAGAGAGAGAGAGAGAGAGAGACGAATCTAGGAAAACTGGGGGTAGCGACTCAGCTGCGGCTCCCGCACATATTACTCCTAAAAGGGCTATTACCTATTCCGTCCCTCCTCCTCCCGCGCCGCCCGCGCCGCGGTCTGGGATGGCTGCCGCCTCCGATCGGCGCTCCTTGGCTGCCGCCTCTGATGGGCGTTTCTTGCGCGAGGGCGCGCGGCTGGTGCCCTGGCAGAACACGCGGACGGAGATGGCGAGGCCGAGGAGCAGGAGCCCGACCGAGGAGCGGAGGATCGCTGAAGCGGAGGCACCACCATGGCGAAAACAAGCACAAGATGAGCAAAAGCTGGAGAGTCGTGCGTCGAGCAGCTACTCGACACAAGAGGGTTACTAGCGTGGTCAGTACCAGGACCGCTGGGACTGCAATTACCGCTATGACGATCACACGCATGGAGGAAAATGGGAATGCGCCATTGCGGTCGTAGAAGAGCTACGATGACAGCGATGGGAACTACACCTCAAGATGCACGAGGTGAAGACGCAAATGCTGATGGAGGCTCAGCTTCCAAGGCGCTACCTGCAGGAGAAGAACAGGACAAAGTACCTGTACCTGCACTCCCACTTTATTTACTCAGCATGAGTAACTTATCTGTGGAGTACCCATTGAGAAGTCCAGCGGGATGATCGGCACCCCTGCTCCGGCGCTGTAAAGCATTTTTTCTCTTGGGGGTTGGCGCTGGGGTGGGGGCCAATGTGCCCTGAGGGATGCCAGGAAACCGCAGTGCTCTCAGGGCTGGGTTGGTGTTGGTGGCATTGGGTCTACGCGGCCCGCCGCGGGGGGAGTAGTTGATGCTCTCCCCGCTCGCTCTCTATGCCCGCCGCCGCCCGCCGACGCCGCCCCGCAGCTTTCACGGATCAAATCACAGAGTATGCGCCTCTGTGCGCGCGCGGGAAGCAGCGAGGAGAGCGGATCGCTTCGTAGACGTTCTCTCTTTCTTTGCTCTCCCGCTGTATTCCTACATATTATAAGTATATCTTAACGGATCCATCATGAGCCCCGAGACCCAAAAGATACCATTATCGTTTAACCCCACTGGGGCATGGGCAGTAGCAACAGCAGCAGCTCCAGCAGTAATAGCAGCAGTGCGGCTCCAGAAGCAGCGGCAGCAGCTCCAGCAGCAACGGCAGGAGCTCCTGTGGCGGAGGAGAGCGACGACGGGGAGGAGAATGAGGAGGCCCAAGATGATCGAATCAAAACCACACCCCACACCTCGTGGGACACGCTCGGCGGGTGATTGGTCGCAGAAATAACGTTCCTGGATGTCCACGGCTGGATCTGACAGCTGTTTTCTGCAACCCCTCGGGGTGTGGCTTTCTCCAACCGCCTGGTGCTTTCTAGGAGCACACCGGAGCTGTTGGGAGGGAGCTGCCAAAGGCATTCCGGGAGCCTCTGGTGTGTTGCTTGCCCTTTGGACTGGGGCGTTCTAGGCGGCCTGTGGTAGCACCCTGCACGGCGTGCAGACGCCTGCCGAGGGCACCTGGCAGCGAGAAGCCTGCCAGTGCAGCCGCATCCTCTTCTGGGCCCCCTAGCGTCGCGCACCGCGCCCCGCGGTGCGCGACGCACGGCATCATCTTCCCGCCCTCGCGCTGCTCCCCGGCCGCGATGCGTGCGGCGTGGTTCTCGTCGCGCCGCTGGGGTTGGGTCGGGCGAAAGGGGGGGATAGCAAAGGGGGGGGGTTTGAGAATCAGCTCACGTAGCTGATTTTCCCAGCGCCTCCCGGCGCCGGAGGCGGCAAGGTATCGAGGAATGGGCCCCTCGGTGAGGCCGAAACCAGCTGCATGCAGCAAATTTCGTACCCCCCCCTTTCCCAATCCCCCCCTTTCGCCCGACCCGATGGGGGTGACCTAGATTCTTCGATGATTCTTGGCGCCTGCAAACTCCCGCGGGGCCTCTCGGGACCTCTCTCGCAGGGCTCTCCGTGTGAGCCGTGACGCACGGTCCCAGAGCGTCCGAGGCACGCATTGGGCCGAGCCGAAGCGCTCCAACGGGCACATGAGCGCCCAGGTCGGCGGCGAGGCCTGAGCGACTAGGATGATCGGGGGAGGGCAAGTCGAGACAACGGCGGCCCTCCCTGGCGTTTTTCGTTCCTTTTGGGGCCTCCTGGGGGCTTCTCGTCGCCAAGGCGGGATCCGTGTCGAAAAACGAGCCCAGTGGCGGAATTGGATCAGATTTGGGCAAGGATGGCCCTCCTCCGAGATGACGTTGGGCTCCAACGTCGCCTCTGGCATCTCGCTGAGCAGCGCCAAAGCGGGCTGCCACTGCCCGCACTTCTCGCACGCGCTGATTCCAGACCTGTAGCTGAGGACGTTCGGCTTTAGCTTCGCCTCCGGCATCTCGCTGAGCAGCGCCAGAGCCCGCTGCCACTGCTCGCCCTTCTCGCACGCGCTGATCCCAGCGTTGTAGCTGACTAGGGCAGACCTGTGGACTCCGTCCACGACATCAGCTCGACGTGGCGAGGGGTCTCTGGGCAAGCGCGGGGGGGTGCGGCTGCAGGGCCGAAAGGCAATCATGATGGCGTCGGGCTCCAGCTTGGCTTTCCATTTAGGGCTTCGTGGGGGCCGTTTGGGGATCTCTTTGGGCGTTTTTGCCTGCGATATGCCTGTCGCCTCTCGTCCGCTCCCCCGCTCCTGGAGGGAATTCTGAAGGCACTGAAGGCTTTGTGGGGGCCGTTTCGGAGCCTCTTCGGCCTTCGTTTGGGCCTCCCGGGGGGCTCTTAGGGCCCTCTCGGGCCGTCTTGGGTGCCTCTTGGGCCGTCTTGGGGCCGTCTGAAACCCGCCTCGGCGCCTCTTGGGCTGTCTTGGGCCGTCTTGGGCCGCTCCTGGGGCCGTCTTGGGTGCCTCTTCGGCCGTCTGGGGCGCCTTCTGGGCCGTCCTGGGGCCGTCCTGGGGCGTCTTGGAACCGTCTGGGGGCCCTCCTGGCCCGTCTTGGGGCTCTCTTGGGGTCCTCTTCGGCCGTCTTGGAGCGGTCGGGGGGGCTTCCTGGGCCGTCTTGGAGCGTCGGGAAGCCGACGAGGCGAGGAGGCCGAAAACATCGAAAAACACAATAGAAATCGACGATTTCTGTCGCTCGGGGCCCTCTTGGGAGGCCTCTTGGGAGGCCTCTTCGGGCGTCTTGGACGCCTCTCGGGCCGCCTGGGGCGAATCCCGGGTGTCTTGGGCCCATCTTTGAGCGTGCCGGGGCTCTCCGGGGCCGTCTTGGGGGCTTCTGGGGGCCCTCTCGACGTGTCCTGGAGCCTGCCTGGGCGGCCCGGGGCGGCCCAGGGCCAGCCCGGGGCGGTTTCGGTGCAGTGGGGCCTGCGCCCTTCTGGCACGCACTGGGCCCTGCAATGTAGTAGAGACTGGAGCTGACCCGTGACTACGTCCACGAGATCGGCACAAAACATAAGGTTCGAATCTCGCATTCCACGCATACTACTGCATGATGTTGATTGCTGCCGCTGTTGCGTAGTGTTGGTCTTGCTTGCCACTGCTGCGTGCTGTTGCAGCTTATGGCTGCAGGGTGCTGCTGATGGCCAGTTCTGCCTAGTGCGTGCTTCTGCCCGCTGCCTGCTGATGATGTTTGCTGTTACCGTGTGCTGCCGCTGCTGCTGCTGCTGCTGCCGGCTTCGTGCTGCGTGCAGCTGCCGTTCGCTGCTGCAGCTTGGTGCTGCAGGGTAATGCTTCCCGCTACTTCAGATTGCTGACGCGACCTGCTGCTGGGAGAGGATTGCGGGGTCAGGACTGAGGAGATCGGAGATCGAGGAGGGGGGGGGGAAGCGAGGAGCGATCAGCGAAGAGCGAAGAGCGAGAAGGGAGGAGCGACGGCCGAGGGGCGAGGAGGGAGGAGAGAGAGAGCCGACGGGGGGGGGGGGCGGGAGGGGCGAGGGACCTCCTGGGGATCTCTTGAGGGCTCGTGAGGGGAGGCCTCTCGGAACGTCTTTCGGAGGCCGTGCCTTTTTGGGGTTCTGATTGGGCCGTCGTGGGCTCCCATAGGGCCCTCCCAGACCTCCTGGAGCCATCTGTGCGGCCGCTGGGGCCGCTGGAAACTGTTTTTGAAGCGACCGCGAGCGTTCGGGTGATACCATAGGACCATATTGGTACATTCACAGGCTGCCGTGGGCTATCTTGGAGGCTTCTTGGGCCGTATTGGAGCCCTGTTGGGCCGTCTTGGGGCCCTCTTGGGGATCTCTCCTGGGGCGATCTCGGGTGGCCCCTGGGGCCCCTGTAGGCGATCTGAGGCCCGGAGACGGGATAGCTCGAAAATGCATCATACACGTACGGGTTGTTGTTTCCTCTTCGGGGGTCCTCTTGAAGGCGTATGGGGGCGTGTTGGAACTCTCCTGAGCCGCTGGGAGACCATCTTGGGCCGCTTGGGGGCGTTGGGGGGTTTTGTTGGAGCTCTCTGCGGCCGTCTTGGAATCCTCTCGGGCGGTCTAGCGCCTCTTGGGCCGTCTTGGAGCGCCCTGCTGGCGAGGCCGATTTGTGCCGATTTGAGCCCCTGCCTTTCCTGCACGCGGTGCCCCCCGCCTTAGAATAGCGAGATGACGTCTACCTCCAGCTTCGCCCACCGCATCTCGCTAAGCAGCGCCAGCGCCCGAGGCCACTGCTTGCCCTTCTCGCACGCGCTGATCCCTGCGTTGTAGCCGACTAGGGCTGACCCGTGGACTACCGTCCACGAATGTCAGAGGATTGAGCATGCGCTCCTTGCTGCTTATTGCTTCAGGGTGCGCTGTTTGCTTGATGATCCTGACGGCGTCTGGAGCAGCGCTAGCAGCAGCGGCAGCAGCAGCAACAGCAGCAGCAGCAGCATCAGCAGCAGCAGCAGATCCAGGACCATCGGCAGTAGCAGCAGCAACAGCTGCAGCATCAGCTCCAACAACAACAACAACAACAACAACAACAACAAAAGCAACGCGGACCTCCTGGGGACTCCCGGGGGCCTTCTCGTCCTCGTCCTCCTCGTCCTCGTCCTCGTCCTCGTCCTCGTCCTCGTCGTCGTCGTCGTCGTCGTCGTCGTCGTCGTCGTCGTCGTCGTCGTCGTCGTCGTCGTCGTCGTCGTCGTCGTCGTCGTCGTCGTCGTCGTCGTGGTGGTCTTCATGGTGGTCGTCGTCGTTGTCGTCGTCGTCGTCGTCGGCGGCGGCGTCGTCGCCGCTGTCGTCGTCGTCAGGGGATAGAGAGGCAGGGGGGAGCAGGGATGGAGGGGCGGCGGGGTCCAGCAGGCGGAGCAGCACGAGGCGGAGGGAGAGCAACGGCAGCAGTAGCAGCAGCAGCAGCAGCAGCAGCAGCAGCAGCAGCAGCAGGGGCAGCAACAGCAGCCGCAGGAACAGGGGGGGCGCGAGCAAGGGGCGGGGAGGAGGAAGGCGAGGGGGAGCGCGCGTTTGGCATGGAGAAAACCGTACCCCACACCTCTTGGGACACGCTCCGTGCGGGAGGGGGGGTCCACGGAAAGGGGGCCTGGGACGTCTGCGGGTGGTCCAAGCAAGGCTTTTTTGCATCCCCTCCCAGGCGATGCGTGTCCCAAGAGGTGTGGGGTATAGTTTTTTCCAATCAGGGGCAATGCTCCAGAGCAGGAAGGCCCAGGGCACGCTGGCTGCGCAAAGGTGGGTGGGCCGACGTGTCCCGAGGAACCCACGAAGGGGCCACGCTCTTGGGGTGGGCCACGCTCTTGGGATGGAGGCGGAGGGGGGAAGGGGCGGTCATGCCTGAGAAGTCCTGAAGTGCCGCGTGCTGCAGCAGGCTGTTCCCAGCGGAAGCATCTGGGAAGCGGCGAGGGGGCCCTCCGATACCCGGGAGGAGGTCCTCGTGGGGCTCTGTGGGAGCCTCTGGAAAGCCTCTGGGAACCTCTGGAGAGCTCTTGGGAGCGCCTCTGGAGCCTTCTGGGAGCCTCTGGAGAGCGCCCGGGGGCCTCTTGGGAGCGCCTCTGTGGCCTTCTGGGGGCCTCTCGGAGGCGTCTTGGAGCCTTGCTGGCCGTGGAGGAGCCTTGAGGGGGGGGGGGAGCGTTCCGAACTGGACCCTCTTGGGCGTCTCTTAGGGCCGTTTGGGGGGGTTCTTGGGCCGTTTTGGGGGCCCCGGGAACTCGATCGGGGGCCTCTGGGGCCGTCTTGGGGACTCTCTTGGAGGCGCCCCGGGCAGCATGGGCCCGATTTCGGACGCCCGCGGTGCCGTGGTGGGCGTCTTGGGGCGGGCGGGAGGAGCACCACCGGAAACGTCAAAAACCCTAGAGAATATCCATAGTTTTGCGGCCTCCTCGTGGGGGTCCCCTGGGAGCTCCGTGAAGCTCGCGGGGGTCCTCCGAGCCCGTCCTGGGGCCCTCTCGGGCTCGCTGGGGAGCTGCCGGGAGACTCTCGAGGCCTCCGCGTCGGGGCCCTCATGGGCCGTCCCGGGGCTGTCCCGGGCCGAGACGGCGTCACCCCACGGGCGGGGCCCCCGAGGCGCCGCCGCGGGTGACCATCGCTCGCCCTTCTCGCACGCGCAATGCCCGGTATTGTAGTACAGACTAGGGCGAACCCGCGGACTTCGTCCACGACCAGCAGGTCCCCCTGGCAGGCCTCCACGTTGGGCCCCCGACCAGGAAAAAGTCACCCCGAAGCCTTCGGTTACTTTTTCTGGCCGCCATTCCGAAGTTGGAAGGCGGGCGCTTCCTCCTCTTCGTCCGCCTTCCGCTCCACGTCCGCCTGGACAGCCTTCGGAGCATCACAGACGGCTATGGTGGGTCTGCGGTGTGCCTCCCGCCGCTTGTCTGCTCCCCCTGGTTTGAACCATTTTGAAAGCAGCTGTGGCCCAGAAAAAAGTCACCAGAAGGGCTCTGGTGACTTTTTTTCTGGTTGACAATTCGAAGCTTGATAGCGGGCGCTGCCTTCTGCTTGGGAACTGTTTGGGGGCCTCTCGGGGTTCCTTTTCGGCCTCCTGGGGGCCTCTTGGTGCCCTTTTGGGCCGTCTTGCGGCCTCCTGGGGTTCTTTTGGGGCCCTCTTGGGCCGCCTTGGGTGCCTCTCGGGGCCGTCTGGGGCCGTCTTAGGCCGGGTGGGGGCCGTCTAGAGGCCCTCTGGGGCTTTGTACTTCACCGATCGCTCTTTTCATGGGCGTGTCTGGGCCTGTGGTCCTTGTGGAGGTCTTTTTCAAGCATGAAGTTTTTCCCAACCATCCTGTGGTGTTGGGTCCTCGTTTTGCAGAGACGGTGCCCCGTGTCTCCTTTTCCTCCCGCTGCCCCCTCCCTCCTCCCCCTCCATGCCATCACGAAGGTCCCAGTGGCGCAGGGTGCATGCGTCCCCCCACCGAGGACAGCGCTTCGTGGCCCCATAGGGAGCTCCACCGAAGGTCCCAATGGCGCAGGTTGCATGCGTCCCCCCCACCCAGGACAGCGTTTCGTGGCCCCACAGGGAGCTCCACCGAAGAC